GGAGGTTCTTCTTTCGCATGAACGGTTCAAAATAGAAGAGGGCAAATCGTTGTGGATGGAAGAGAAAAAGAGAAAAAAAAAAAAGAAAAAGGAAAGATAGAAGAAGAAGAAGAAGAAGGAGAAGAAGAAGTAGAAGAAGAAGAATAGATGGAGAAAGAGAAATAGAGAGAGAGAGAGAGAGAGAGAGAGAGAAAGAGAGAAAGAGAGAGAGAGAGAGAGAAGGAAGATGAAAGAGTTACCAATGTTGTTGGTGATAATGTTTGGTGGTGATGGTGCTAGTGGTGCTGGTAGTGGAAGGAGAGAGGGAAAGGAGACTCTTTCTCTCTCTCTCTCTCTCTCTCTCTCTCTCTCTTTCTCTCTCTTTCTCTAAGAAGTTGAAGTCGATGATCTCTCTCGATTTTACTCTCCCTTCACCCAATAGCAACGAAGGAGTACGAGATGCCACGACCGCAGTCGCAGCAGCTGTTTCGTCGCGGTTCGTCCGTCTGTCATAGACGGGCGCTCCTTCTAAAGAGACTTTCCTTTTTTTTTCTCCTCCTCCTCCTTCTTCTCCTCCTTCTCCTCCTCCTCCTCCTCCTCCTCCTCCTTCTTTTTCTCCTCCTCTTTTTCTTTCTCTTCTTTTTCTTTTGCTTTTCCTTCTCTTTTTTTCTTTTTCTCTTTTTCGCTACTCCTCCTGTTTGTTCCCTTCTAACCGTTTATCTTGGAATTTATCGGCTGGGGTACGCAATGTGATCTTCAGAAGGATTATAAACGCAACGTCATCGTTCTCGCGTCGTTGAGGTGTAGCCGTTCGTCAAGGTCAACTTACGTGCGAAGGTCGGGAATCATACTATTGAGCCATACTCTCTCTTTCTATTTCTCTCTCTCTCTCTCTCTCTCTCTATCCTTCTCTCTTTCTCTCTCTCTCTCTCTCTCTCTATCCTTCTCTCTTTCTCTCTCTCTCTCTCTCTCTCTCTCTCTGTGTGTATCTCTATGTGTTTATCTTTATCGCTATTTATATCCTTATTTTCATTCGAAAAAAGATCGATGATTTTACGAGCTAATGAATTGTTAATTTCTTAGATATCGAAATAATTCCTCCGCGTCCCATCTCCTCTCCCTTCCACCCCTCCTCACAATGTTTTAACAATGTGAAACATTAAAAACATCTTATATATAAAAGTCTTTCGATGGTCGTAAATTAAAATTAAAAATGAAATATGAAAATTGAAAATTGAATATGAAAAGGGGGAAAATAATAGTGTGTGTGTGCGTGTGTGTGTGTAAGAGAGAGAGAAAGAGAGAGAAAAAAGAAAAATCGAATAAAATTGAATTGGATCGATAAAGAATGAAAGATTAATAATTACGATGAAATGAAAAAAAATCCATTATTGATTATTTGTCATAATAGGCTTACCAAAAAGCGATACAGAATAATAGAGGTGATCTGAGAATAGCATTGGCGGAATCGACTAAGCAGATTGCACCACAGACAGGACCAAGGATCGTACAGCATACGACCAGGTCGAACAAGGTCATCGACACTGAGAAGACCCTGGAAAAACAGGAACTTAAATCCGATGGATTAATCGTCACGGAGAAAAAGAAAACTGTCGAGCATGAGGAGGTACGAATACGAATGATTGATAACAGATAATGAAAGAATAATCTTTGCGATATTGTTTCATCATAATTCGATCGCGAATGATCGATATTAAACTTTTTGTTATCGTTTTCCTTTTTTTTTTTTTTTTTTTTTTTTTGTTTTTGTTTTTTTTTTGTCGTTTTCTTTTTTCCATAGATCCATGCATGTACGTACGTACACGCATATATGTTTAATTATTTATTCATTTGTTCCATTGGTTAGATAAATGACGACGAAGTACCGGACGACGGTAATAGCGTCGAGGACGTTTCAGAAACGAGAAAGGAAGGTTCTCAAAGATTTATAAAGAAACGAGAAGAGGACGTGGTCGATTACGTGTCAGGTGGCGAGAGGATCGCTCGTGAAATGCGTTACGTCGCAGAGACGACGGAAGGTGAAAGAATTGGCGATTGGTCGCCACCACCAACGAATATGAGGACAACGCGGCTTCATAAACATACTGGTATATTAGATATTAGATTTTTCTCGCTATATCTCACTTGTGGATTTTTTTCCTTTTTTAATTTTCATTTTCTCTTTTTCTTTTTTATTTATTTGTTTATTTATTTTTTCTTTTTTTCTTTTTTTTTTTTTTTTTTTTTTTTTTGATACCATTATATCTTTCTTCATTTTTCCCCATCTTATTTTGTTTGTTTGTTTTTTTTTTTTTTTGTTCTTTTCCCATTAATTTTTATAATCCAACATCGAGAGCTGAATTATATTAAAACAGGCTTCCCTGCGGAGGGTACTACAGCTGCTAGGAAGGACGCATTGACAAAGAAACCATTGGATTTAGAAGAGGAAGATGAAGCAAGAAAATTCGAAACTTCTAAATGGTTAGAAAGTCATTTTGGTAGCGAGTCTCGTTCATCACACGGTTCCATAGATGCCGATGATGGACCTTTCATACCTAACACCAATACCAGTTACATACACGTCACGATGAAGTCCTGCAGTCCGAGAGAAAGGGATTATCAAAACGTTAATTCTAATCGTCATCATCATTCAGCTGGCCGCGATTCCACATCACCATCTGGATACTTTCACGGTATCAGTGAGTGGTCCGAGAGATATCAAGGCAAAGGTTAATTTTTTTTTTTTTTGTTTTGTTTTGTTTTCTTAATCATTGATCGAAAAAAAAAAACGATCAAAATGTCTATAAAATTTCTTCTATCGTTCAGTTTTATTATACTTTACTTCGATATCTATGAAATTTATTCGGACACGCTTTAACATTTCGTCATATTTATTTGACATTGTTTATAATTTAAAAAATCATTATTATTATTATTATTATTGTTGTCCTTGACGTTCGATTGTAATTATAAAAATAAATTTCTATGTATTAGAAAAGGAAGACAATCATACGAGAACGGGTTCGCCATCGCAATATTTGGAAACAGCACGAACGAATGGTCATTCTCGTGAGTATACGAAAAATCAATTCGACTCGACGTATTCGCGTAATTACGAGTCCGTTCGGCGACGTGAACATCAGGAAACTGTTCATGAAGAGAAGCAACGTACACCGTCACCACCAACACGACGTAAACCCAAGGAACAGGTAAATTATTAAAGATATTAGTATCAATGTTAACAATAAGTAATGTCGATATTTTTTTTCTTCTTTTTTCTTTTTATATCTTATAATTAAATAAGATTTACTATTAAGAATAGTAAAATGAGAGAAAGAGAGAGGGAGAGAGAGAGAGAGAGAGAGAGAGAGTAAGTAAAGGAATGCTAATAAATATAATAATAAAAATATTAATAAATGTACTAATAAAAAAATTAAATAAAAAAATACTATTCCTATATATTACATTATACAAAATATTAATGTTATTTATTTAGAAAGAAAAGAAAAAATACTTATTATTTATTCGAATAGTTAAAGTTTTAATATTATTTATTTATATCAGAAAATATTAATATACATTATTATTCGATATTGAAATTCATATCTAGATTTATTGCTGATTGATCAATCCAATGGATAATAAATTTTAATGAAACCTTATGAAATCTATAAGATTATGATCTTTCGTATAGTTACATTCGAGGATCATAGAGAAGACAATAACGAACGAGTCACCATCAATTAGAACATCTAGTCCGGTCCATGTTGTTCAAAGAACATGGGAGAGCAGAAGCCGAGATGTTCAGGAGCAAACGTTTGTTGATCGAGATGCTCGTAAAAAATCAACGCCTAGATCACGTTCGACATCACCGAAACAAGTTAGAATCATTCGTGAGGAAAAGAAGACGGCAAATCCCTCGAATTCGTCACGACCCTCCAAAAGTAAGATCACGATCGTCAATATAAATATTTTTAATTTCAATAAAAAAAAAAAAAAAAAAAAAAAAAACAAAAATAAAATAACATACCCATTCAAACAGCATTCAATTGAATTATTTATTTCACGAAATAAATAATATCTGATAATAATAATAATAATAATAATAATAATAATAAGGGATAAAAAAAAAACGGATAAAAGTTAATTAGCAATAAAAATTTCTTGATTAAATTTATTTAAAGGTACCAGCCAATCGAAATACAAGATCGGTGAATCCTTCCGTAAGCTTGTGGGCAAGTTACGTTCAGCAAGTACAGAAAGGAAGAACAAACGAAGTAATAATTCGGTATCACAAGTTACACAAACGGACGACGATGGATCTACATATATGCAGTACAACGTTATAGATAAAAATATTCCATTGTTCAATGATCGTGAGATTGAAAATCGAGTACCAGAGAGACCACCTAGATCACCGAGGAATAGAAACGTGGTGACTAAAGTTATACCATCTAAAACTACGAGAATTAATAATGATCGTTCGATTCGTGATGATCACGGACAAAGAAACGAAACTATTCCACCGGTTCATAGGTATTATCTCGGTGAAGATCCATTCGGTGGTAGTATATATGGCCGTGAGAGAGGTTACAGAGATGCAAAACGTCCAACGAGAAATCGTCTTGTTTCCAAAACTGGTGCTGCCATCGATACTACTGAATACAGGTAATATCAAAACTATAAATAGATCGTTATACTGGGTTATAACGAGGATTTGTCTATTGGCAAAATACAAATTAGACAAATCTTTTATAACTTTCGATAGAGGCGATTAAACACGCCGGATCGATAGCAACGAACAGAGCTTGGCTTATTTGTATCGTCTATCTGCGATAAGGGATCGGGTGAAGGATGCATGAGGGATAAAGGAGGAAAAGGAAAAAAAAAGAAAAAAAAAAAAAAAAAGAAAAATGAAGCATGATGCGTGTTTACCGCTATATATTGTTATTCAGGAGCAATTGGATGGCTTACCTTTTTCAATGATCGAATGAATTTCTTTTGATTTCCTCTTTTTTTCTTTTTTTATTTATTTTTTTTCTTTCTCTCTTTTTTTTTTTTTTTTTTTTTTTTTTTTTACGACGAATGACGTCTCTCGACTTCGGCACGTTTCAGTGTCGCAACCAACTCACTTGGCAGGTTTAGCAAATCAACCAGTCGATTGACAAACTTATACGAGACGGATGATCAATTCAGGAACGTACAAACATTACCAAGGAATATGAGGTCCGAGGGTAAAGCAACTAATTATCAACCATCATCCTCTTCAACAAGACAACAAGTACAATCGATTGTATCAAATTCAAACGGGATAACACCATCCAGACAATATGGTAGCATGATCAATATATCAATTAAAAATGCTGTTACGTCAGCGTCCAAGTCACATCAACCATACGCTAATATTCATCAGGCACCTGCTAAACCTGAAAGAACGTACAAGTCAACGTTAGCCCGTAGTAAAAGTTTCAACGTCGAAGCTGATAAAAATGGCGTTGATAAAACGTTCAATGTACCTTACAAATCAAGTTTGCAATTGAATCGTTTGGACGAAACACCACCGTTAAAGAGTCCTGGTATTCTTGCCAGTATCAGTCGTAGTAATAGGGATCTGTTTAAGGATAGCAAAAGAGAGTAAGGAAATATATATATATATTTATATCTGTGTGGATTTGATCCAATTTACAATCCAATTTCCATTGATTTCTTTTCTTCAGATCATTTTTAATATTAGAATATTGTTTCTTTATTCACTTTATGACGATACAATCTTGTATATTTATTATTCACTTCGTTCAAGATCTATCGATGATTGTTATAAAATTGAAAAAGAAAAAGAAAAGAATATGAAATGAAAAGCTCCCAAGGTTCGATTATTTTTAACATTATAATGTTTATTTCTTTTTCTTTTTTTTTTTTTTTTTTTTTTTTCTTTTTTTCTTTTTCTTTTTTCTTTGTCCGACAATTACATACAATTACATAGTTTCTAAAATAAAATAATGCATTTTATTATGTAATGTCTTATTATATCTCGAAGATATCAAGTACAAATTATCTTCATTAACATATATTTTACATCGACATCGTTTTATGTGGATATTATGATATTTATAGAGAGAGAGAAAAAAAAAAGAAAAAAAAAATTGAGATAAAAATGAAAAAAAATAATAAAAAGAAAAAATTAATAAATAAATAAATATAAAGGAAGAAAACAATTTTGAAATATATTCAATAAAATGTAAAAATAATAAAATATATATATATATATATATATATATATAAAACAGAAAAAATTAAATTCCCTTAGTTTTTGATTTCATTATAATATTAATAATAACTTATTGAACCTTTTGCTTGGTCTTTTTGATTTCTGATAATAGTCGTAACTTTTTAAATGCCAGTATTAAGATAAGAGCATTAATGATATAACTGCTTATGCAAATAATACAGATATCTCTTAATAAGTATAAAATATAAGCTAGATAAATGGAAGCAATGTTTGATAAAATTCCTAAGAATATTATTGTGAAGACACTGGAGTGATCGTTCAATATACCTAAAATACAAAAAATTAAATTTTATATTTTTAAACATTTTAATTGATAGCTTAGAAAAGGATGTTTAAAAAAAAAAAAAAAGAAAAAAAAACAGAAAAGAAAAAAAAGAATTACGTACTCAATCCGGTTATTAAAAGATAAAATCCTAAACCATATAAACTGTTTGGAAAGTATAATACAGAATTATTTGGTATCAATCCAAATCCTTTACCATATCTGAAAAATATAATTATAATTATATCATCATCGTCATATAGTCATTTTTTTTTGCCTTATTTATAAAATAATTTATAAACTAATGAAATAAAAAATAATTCGTTATATGATTACCGACAAACGATAATGTCACTTTCCTTTGCAAATGTTACATTTATAATGTTTTAAAAAAAATTACAGAAATGAACTAATTTTTCTTTTTTTTTTTTACATTAAATTAAGAAAAAGGAAAAAAAGAAAAGAAAACGAAAGTGAAGAAGATAATTTAACAAAATAATCTGTTATATCGATTACCGACAATCGATAAAGTCATTTTACTCAGTTACGTTTATAATAATAATAAAAAGGAAAAAAAAATTTCATGAAACGAATAAACAAATTTTTCTTTTCCTTCTTACATTGAAATTAAGGAAATAATCGAATAAAAAAAAAAAAAAAAAGAAAAACATAATTCGTCATACGATTACCGACAATCAATAAAGTCATTTTCCTTTGCAAACATTGCATCAAGATCAATAAAAAAAAATTTTAAATAACTTTTTTTTTTGTTTTTTATACATGCACGTGCATACAAAATATCGCGAGAAGAGAAAGAGAGAGAGAGAAAGAGAGAGAGAGAGAAAAAATAAAGATATGATTAATTATTATTGCGTATATTCGTATTTTGATAAAACTGTTAAAGAGGTTATGTATTCCCAAAGTCATCACAAAAAATTCTCAAGGAAATATTTCGTAATAAAATAAACTTACTCGGACGTCAATACTCTGGTACAACTTATATGCTCATTAATGTCGCATAATGCTTCATAAGAATCATTATTTTCTTTTGTTGTTTCCACAATATAAGCATAATACGACAATATCGTACCAATGATGCACAACAAAATTAAACCAGTTGAAATATTACGCAGTGATTCCGGTGTAACGGGCATAATTATTTATTATTTGTAACACGAATTTTGTCGATACGTTAAAAATAATAATCACTGAATAAAAACTCTTTATACGGACAACCGTACAGATTAATTCAATCAACACTGTAAATTTTATTTAATTTCAAACTTATGTAAACCAATATACGATCTTTTCACGACTACGTCGATCAAAGTTATGAGATAGTATAGAGTAATTTTTTGTACAATCCGATCATAACAGATGATTCATTCGTTACACGAAAGAGGGGTTTCATTATCGATTTATGCCCTTTCGTATTTATTTTATATATGCATTTACTTGTAAATAAGTAAACAACATATTTGCCAACGTCAATATAAGCTCAATATCATAAGTTAAATATTTATCAGACTTTATTACAATTAAATCGTTCATAGATTTAACATTTAAATGATTTATTTCTTAAATTTTGTACATTGTTTATTTTAAGTGAATGAGCTTATTAACTAAGGATACTGCCATAAGAAAGATACTTATACGAATGTATTTTTATGATGCATAAATACTTTTTTTGTGATTGACAAAGAGAGAGAGAGAGACAGAGAGAGAGAGTGTGTGTGTGTGGTGTGTGAGAGAGACTTATTATTTAATTAGCCTTATTATACTTCATCCTAATAAATCTATCGATTATTGCTAAAATTAATAGATTTATTTAAATGTCGTAAAATGTTATTAGTATTTTTCAAATAAAAAATATTGTAAATTTGTATGAATAGTTAATCTACGTTAAAAACTAATTAATTTTGTAATATTTAACGACACATAGTTTATCTTCAAAAGAAAAAAAAAATATATTGAAATAGATGACAATGTAATATTAACAATTTTTATATATATATACATATACATATATATATATATATATATATATATATATATATATATACACATATATATATATAAAGTTTTTTGTTTTACTTATAAAAAAATATTTTTAATTAATCAACTCAAAAGAATACTATATGCGTAGAAGTGTTGGTATCTTTACATAAGTTTATATTTATCAAGTAGTAGATAATTTTTATTCTTGAGGTGCCATTGCTCTTGCCTGAGCCCTTACACGTTTTTCATATTCCAAGCGATTTTGACTGTAAAATAAAGAAAGAATTTTAAACTATTGTACTGCTTGATATCAATGATATAAATTATATTGTCATATAAATGAAATAATACCAGTATATTGTGTAAGCTTCAGCTTGGGCTGGATCTTTTACATTAGGTTCATTAAGTAAATCTTGAATACCCAAAAGGATTTGTTTTATTGTAATTGCTGGTCGCCAATCTTTTTCTTCGTCCAACAAAGAAAGACATACCGTTCCAGATGGGTATACATTTGGATGGAATAATGGTGGTTCGAATTTGCATTTTGGTGGACTAGAAGGATAATCATCTTTAAAGATCATTCGCAATTTATATAATCCACCTTCCCAAGGAGTCTGTAAAGTAATAAGAAATGAATTAATAAATTCATATAATATTCAAATAAGATTTCATTTGAGAAATAAAATAAGATAAATTCAATATAAATTCTTACAGATTTCTTTCCAGGGATTGCACATTCCCAGCTCATCAAATTAAGCGTACCATCTGGATTTTTTGTTGGCCTTGCAACGAAGCCCTATAAATAAATAACGAAATTCTATTAATTTATATAACAATGTGAGAGAAATATTTTGAAATCTATTTGAACTTAGATCAAGAATAAAAATAATGATAATAATAATAATAATAATAATAATAATAATAATAATAATAATAATAATAATAATAATGATAATAATAATAATAATAATAATAATAATAAAAGTCATCAACAATGAATGTTCGTAACCTGATTATAATTTGAATAAAAACGAGTTTAATGATTTTGTATTGCAGATAAATATGGATTTGTAAGAAAAGGCGCCGAAATTGTTAATTCGTTGAAATAAAAGTTAGAATCTTTAGGATCGTTCGACGTTAAAAATCTTCGATTAAAAATGATAATAGATATATTTTGAAAATCCAATAAACACTTACAAACGGATGATCCTTCCTCCATGCTTTTCGCTCTTCGGCGAGTCTTGCAATAGCAATGCCTGACATTTATCTGCAAGAAAATTGTCCTCACTCGATTAACGTAAGAATTTTTAACAGGCGGGAAACGTGTACAGCGCTCCTCGTAGTTAGAAAATTTAATATTACCACGATGAAGCTTTCTACTGTTCCTGACTTCAAATCACAGCCACCTTTTTCGTCGAAATCGCATTAAACACTTTATATCACAAGGATTAAACTGATACTAGTAAGAGCGTACCAATGCGTTCGTAAAAACCATAGACAGAAACCATATTCAGGATTTACATAAAATCTACTGACTGAACAAAACTTTTGTTAAAAACACTATCGATTAATCACGTGATCATAACTGTTGGTATTGCAAAATCAAGTTTCTTGGACAAATCGTAATGTAAATGACCAATCAGAAGCTATTATGAATTTGTCCAGAACGTTGATTGGGTCATTTCTTATATAAAAAAAAAAAAAAAACATATATATATATACAATAAATTATGACTGAGCTTTAAAAATTGTTTTTATTAAAATTATTTTTTCGAGTGGGACTTATTATGCCGTGTAAATGAATAAGAATTAAATCGACGTCGAAAAACGTATTAATCCTTTCGTTAAAAATCATAGACAAAAATTGTATTTAGGATTTATACAAAATGATTGGACGATTATAACTTATGATAAAAACGTTCGATCGATCGATGAGTTACATGTGATTTTTCTCAGTCGGCATTATAAAACAAAATTTTTTGGACAAGTCATAATGTAAATGACCAATCAGATGCTATTATGAATTTGTCCAGAACGTTGATTGGTTATTTATTACAAACGTGTAAGATAAATTATAAATAAATTTCATAAAATTATTTTTATGAAAAGTATTTTTTAAAAAAACATATTATTATTTTTCAGATCTATTTTAATGTTATTTAAAAAAAAACTCATCAATTCACGCTTAGTGTATTTGAATAATTAAATAACGATAGAAATCGTTAGATCATTAAATATTCCTCGTAAAAAGTTTAAATGTATTTTATCATTTTCATATTTATCTATAAATAAATTTTATTTATTAATAATATTTTTAATAAAACAGTAATCTGAAATATTGTTAATTAAACAGTAATCTGTTACATTGTGTATATATATATATATATGTACATATATATATCAAAAACCGAATCTCATCTGCGTCTGCGCTCGTTATCATCGAATCTGTTTATAAAGAGTTAAGTCATCGGACTTTTAACTTTAGTAATACATTTACCGGCGTCTAAAGAACAGTAGCTCCTTTCTTATCATTTACGGTGTATCTGAAACTTCGTCAAATTTTATTACTTCTACGTTTAACAATATCAATCAGAAATATATTTGATGAGAGTTAGTTTATATTTGTAACAATTTTTTATTTAAAAAAAAACAAAAAAGAAAAAGTGATATTATATAATACATGCACGCATATATATTGTGAAGAATGTGGTTAATAATAATACTGTAAGTGTAATACTTAAGTTAAAAAAAAAAAAAAAAAAAAAAAAAAAAAAAAATATTACAGGTTCAATTTTACAGAATCTTTTTGTTTCTTTTCAAAAGAGCAAATGTTTTCAACGAATTATTATTCCGTTCAAATGTCAATAATATACGATATAGATTTTTATTTACGTAAAAATTTAATAACGGTCTGTTAATTCTTAAGAAGACGCGAAAAAAAAAATATTACAATTGATAGATATAAGAGAAAATGTATACACGTATTTTAGAACGTGCCACTTTCGAAATGAACAAATTAGTGTTCAATTATTATTTCAGTGCATCCAGTAAAATTTGTATTATGTATTTTAAATATTTTTTCTCTCTCCTTTTTTTTTTCTTTTTTTTTACTGTAACATTGCACCTCATTATTCCCTAATGATCTGACAAAATAAGCTAATGTAATGTTTAAACGTTGTTGCAACGCAAGAGGATAAACAAAATGCATTAACGTGAATATTACATAAAAAAAAAAAAAAAAAAAAAAAAAAAAAAAAAAAAAAAAAAGATCACGTAAATTAGCAAAATTTTTGCGAATTAGATTTGTTTTCTTTACACTTTCAAGAACACTTGATTCTAGAAACTTAATCTTCCGTGTTTGCATAGGTTTAAGGTTTTTTTTGTTTGCACGGTAAAATAAATCTTCGATAAGATAATATTCTTTAATACTTACGTTAGTTTCATTTCTCACTTTTCTTTTATATATATATATATATATATATATATATATATATATATATATATATATATAAAAAATTGATCACGATTCTTATGGATCGTTTTCGAACGTACCCACACAGATATAAATATATCTTTACGAATATAATTAATACTTAATGGAAATATTTGTTTATACAGGATGATAACATTCGAATCGCGAATGATGTTCTCACGCGCTTCCGCAAAAGATAATGAAACATTAGATTGTCATCGAATTAATTTGAATATTGAATTATCTGAATGCCATTTGAAAGTGATTGGACATCGACTTACATGTTTTGCTGGTATTGACGACAAATGGAAAACGGAGTCAGTAATTAAATCATTATCTACTAATAATAAATAATAATAATAATAATAAAAGCAAAGAAACAACAAAAATTAAAACTGAACACACACACACACACATACACACGAACATTACATATATATATACATATAATTCATTTATATATATTAAAAAAAAAAAAAAAAAAAGAGAAGAAAAACAAAAAACAAAAGGAACAAAATATTTTTGTTTAGAAATGAAACAGTAGAAAATCTTGTTCTGTGCAATTGGCCAAATACAACTTTCGATCCTCAAGAAGTCTTGCAAGGATTTCCATTGTTACGAAAATTTAAAATAGCGAACAGTAATTTGACGAGATTGATGACACCTTTCCCCGAGGATTGTCAATTTCTTGAAGTAGGTGGAAAAAAAAGTATATGCGATATGATAAATTAAAAATTAAGTTATTATATTATTTATGTGCGTTTATCGTTCAATTAGAAATCGGATTATGATTTAATGATTCGCTCTTTACGAGCACGGAATATTCGAATTTGTGAATTTAAAATTTCGGTCTTATTTCTTTCTTTCTTTCTTTTTTTTTTTTTTTTTTTTTTTTTTCTTTTTTGGCTCCCCCGTTTCTTCTTTCCCGTTGAATTTTGGATATATAATATAAATGTACAGATAGCAGAGGGAACCACGTTTCTGTTTCGTCGTGTTTCTCTTGACAGAAAGTTAATCTAACTCATAACAAATTGGAACTACTGCCTGTGGATGTCTTTGCAAATCTTTCGAATTTAAGGATTGTCGATTTGAGATACAATTATTTGAAGGAGATCGATCTCAAAGGATTTAATGTACCGACGTTGAGCCAAGTTTATCTCTTTGGTGAGAATCGTAGATCGAATAAATTTTATTTGACAATGCAATTGGGTAGAGAAGAAAAAAAAATGAAAAAAAAAAAAAAAAAAAAGGAGAAAAAAGAAAAAGAAAGAAAAAAAGATTGATTAAAGATTTAAATAGGTAATCCTTTGAAATGCACCGAAAATATTTCCTGGATTCTCGATCTGAGAAATGGATCATTCGCTGAGAAAATTGTTGATCGAGAAAAGTTACGTTGCTCTGTACCATACAACGGAAGACCACTCGTACCAGTTGTAGAAATTATTATGGTAATATTTGATACTTTTTCATTTTCCTAAAATTGAATCGTTCGAAAAATTCGTAGAGAAACATAAGATGAGAATTAAAATTGTTGATATACCTATTAGCTAAAGATAAATATTTGATCGAGCATAAAATGTCCGTATACGCGTATATCACTTTTTTTTTTTTTCAATGAGATCACGTCAATTCTTTTTGCTTTTTCTTTTTTTTTTTTTTTCCCCCAGACAGGTCTTACAATCACTTTCTTGAAATACATTGGATTTTGTTCGGCAATAAATCAATTTATATTTGTACTTTCTTCTTTTTCTTTTTTTGCAATTTTTTTCTTTTTCTTTTTTTTTCGTTTTTTTTTTTCTAAATAAATCTTAAAACTATAGGCTTCCAGATTATTCTGCGACAGAATAATGACTATTACTTGTTAAAAAAAAAAAAAAAAAAAACAGAACACCTACGTATTTTTCGAACAGTCCAATAAAAAAAAAAATATATATATATATGTGTGCGTGCGTGTGTGTGTATAAAAAATGTGTGTGAAGATACAAAATTATCTCAAATCTAATTGTTCATAGACATTGAAAGACGAATGCAAGAGAACATTATGCGACTGCGAATTGGTTTATGTGGTTGGACGAGGTGGTAAAAGGACATTAAAACAATTAATGGCCTTTACTTCAGTTAATTGTAGTTATCGTAATTTAAACGAATTGCCAGAATTTTTACCAGCCAATACGACTACTCTACATTTGAATGGAAACAAGGTCTCATTATTTGAATTAAATTAATTACAATATATCATTCGAATAATTATTTCATAAGAGTTTAATGATCTTAGATAAAGGATTTGACACCACTAGTGAAAAATCCAGTCTACAAACAAGTTTTGGATCTTTATCTAGATGACAATTTAGTCGAGTCCATTGTACAATTGGATGGTTCCTATTGGCTCGATCATTTTCGTCTTTTCAGTTTACGTGGAAATAAACTCTCAGACGTTTGTATTGACTATTAAATTAAGATCATTAGTATGGCCATTCATTTATCTGTTGTTTTATTAGCTATTATGTTGAAATATTAAAAAAAAAAAAAAAAAAAAAAACATGATATTTAACGCGCCAATTAATTTCTTTTTCTAGGCGAACCTAAATTCGTTATCATTTTTTTCTTTTTTGTTTTTTTACATAGCCTACATTTTGTTCTGATAATTTTATTATTAGCTCTTACGTTAAAATATTTCAAGGATGACAATATTTAACATGCTAATGAATCTCTGTTATGGACAAATTAAATATCGTTATAATTTATCTTTTTTTTTTTTTTTAATGTGTATATATATATATATAGCCTTATTTGATTCTGGTATTGTATTATTAGCCGCCATATTGGAATATTTTAAAGATTTCTTGAACACCTGATAATATTTAACATGCTAATGAATCTCTTAAGCTAATAAGTTATAATTCTCGTAATTTATATTCTTTAGGTGCCAACTTATGCATTGGAGAATGTTTTGCTTCAAAGTGGTAGTGTAGCAAGATTATATCTTGGCAATAATCCATGGAGATGCGATTGTCTTTTCACT